GGCGACAAATATGGATAGGAAGTTGTGGAGAGGCTTGATCCCGAACGATCAAAATGGAGACGGTGTATGAAAAAACAGAAATTAAGCCTTTCTCTCGCATTTATTTCTTTGTGATAGCTTAAGTATCCACCCAAGATAAACACAAGGTTTTGAATGTTGATTTTGAAAACGGATCGCCCTTTGCATCTAGAAGATTGTGTAGCGTAGAGGTTTCCATCCCTATTTTCATTTCTGCCGCGCATTTTGGCTTTGTATTTTATCAGGTTAATTTTCGTTTATCTTTTTTATCATCAATAAAAATGGCGGCTGCTCGCAAATTGTATTGGCTGTTATGTATCTCAGTCTGCTTATTTCTATCTTGAAATGTTCGTTTTCTACTGAAAAGAAAATGGACAGACGCTTTAGCAGTTCAAATAATGAGGACTTGGAGCGTGTGGCGATCAAAGAAAATCTGTTTTTCTTTGCCCGACAGACACGACTGGGTGGAGAAGAGTCGATCAAAGGCAAATGGAAAGAGTAGCTTCCAGCATTTGCTATGATGGCTGAATACGATTTCCTTTAATTTCCCTTAGTAAATCTCTTTCGCTTTTATTCTACCAAAAGTTTTCTCCCCTTGCGTAACGAACTCTTCTCTTTTGTTAGCATTGTATCTATTTTATTTTAGTTTAATTTTTAGCAAATGCCGCCTTCGAGTTGATGAATGAAGACGATTTTATAATTGAATACAAAGTTCTTATTTTCAGAACGTGAATTATTTTTTTAAAATATATATTTTTATTATTATTATTTTGTTATGTTATGTTACTTGTTTATTTATTTTATTTATTTAGTCATAGTCAAAACTGGAATTCCTTCCGGGGCAAAGCTGAAAGCGGGTTTTAAATATAACGAGTGATTTATTATTTAAAAAAAAAAACGCCTTCCTCATTGCATATTTATTTTATTTCAAGATAGAGGATTTCTTCGGAGAGTAATTCTTTAGGAAGGAAGCCCTATCACAAACAAAAGCGTCTTTTTTTTAATGTTAATCATTTTTTCTTTCTTTTCATTGCTTTTCATTTCTCGCTTTTTCACTCCTTTTCTTTTCCTTCTTATTTTTCAGTCTTTTGTCCAATCTTAATTTTTTTTCTTCTTCTCTTTATATTCAAGCCACCATATTGTTTTATTATCATTTCCTAGCTTTTCTATTATATTGTTTATTTCTGTTTTGCATTTATTTCCTTCTTTCTTTCTCTTTTATTTTTACGCTTGTTTGCTTCCATTTTTCATATTTCTTTTATCTTTCCTTTTCTGTCAATCTTCTTTGTCATTTCTTTTGTATTTTGTTCTTTCTTTCTTTCTCTTTTTCTATCTTATCCGTTCCCATTTTTGCATCTTTATTTTCCTTTTTCTTTTCCATCAATCTTCTTTGTCCTTTCTTTCCTTCTTTTGTTCTTTCTCGTTTTTTTAACGCTTATCCGTTTCCTTTTTGTATCTTTTTTTTTCAGTTTCCTTTTCTTTTAATTTTATTTGTCTCCGATTTCTTTCTTTCTTTCTTTCTTTCTTCATTTTCTCACTAGTCCGGCTCTATTTTGCATCTTTCTTTCTTTCATTCTTGCTTTCTGTCTTTCTTTTTTCATTTTCTCAATAGTCCGGCTCTATTTTCCATCTTTCTTTCTTTTTCTCACTAGTCCGGCTCTATTTTCCATCTTTCTTTCTTTCGTTCTTTCTTTCTTGCTTTCTTTCTTTCTTTTTTCATTTTCTCACTATTTTCGCTCTATTTTCCATCTTTTCCATTCTTGCTTTCTGTCTTTCTTTATTTTCATTTTCTCAATAGTCTGGCTCTATTTTCCATCTTTCTTTCTTTTTCTCACTAGTCCGGCAGTATTTTCCATCTTTCTTTCTTTCGTTCTTTCTTTCTTGCTTTCTTTCTTTCTTTTTTCATTTTCTCACTATTTTCGCTCTATTTTCCATCTTTTCCATTCTTGCTTTCTGTCTTTCTTTATTTTCATTTTCTCAATAGTCCGGCTCTATTTTTCATCTTTCTTTCTTTCTTTCTTTCTTTCTTTCTTTCTTTCTTTCTTTTTTTTTCACTAGTCCGGCTCTATTTTCCATCTTCCTTTCTTTCATTCTTGCTTTCTTTCTTTCTTTTTTCATTTTCTCACTATTTTCGCTCTATTTTCCATCTTTCTTTTACCTTTTCCTTTCCGTCAATCGTGTTCGTCATTCTTTCTTGCTGACTTTCTTTCATTCATTATCAGCTTTGGCCTTGTCTTTTTTTTTTATCTTTTCCTCCTCCATTTTCCTCTTTCTTTTGCCTTTCCTTTTTCATCAATCTTATTCACCTCTTCTTTCTTTCTTTCTTTCTTTCTTTCTTTCTTTGATAGCTCATCTTTTCCCCCTCATTCATTCCCTTTATATTCTACTTTCTCTTCTTTCCTCCTTCATTTATCCTCTGTGTTTGCTTTCCTTTACACATCAATGTTTCTTTCTTTTTCCAGTTTCCGGTCTATTCCATCTCGTCTTCACACACACACACACACACACACACACACATATATATATATATATATATATATATATATATATATATATATATATATATATATATATATATATATACTTATTTTAAAACTTTATTTTTAATTATAAATCGTATTTATCTATAGTCTTCCTTGCTGTGGTTATTTATTTTTTCAATCCAATTAATGAATTGATCGGGAAGGCTCGCCAGGCGCATGCTCCACACACACATACACACACACACACACACACACACACACACACACACACACACACACACACACACACACACACACGCACGCGCGCACACACACACACACACACACACAAAGCGTAAAAACAGAAGTATGGACTCACGTATACATAGAGAGAAGTACATATTAGCAGGTTCATATTCTTAGTTAGACACGCAGAATATCAAACTTTCGTATACACATAAAGATACTTTATGTTTCCTTAAAATGATTGGCAATGTATTTCTTTGCATTATTTTTATTGCTTTTTCCTTATGCGCGAACAAGAAGTTCCTTTTGTGATCATTTTGCGTAGAAACTGTGCGAATGCTTCTTCGATCCTAGCGCTATCGTCTACTCAACCATTTCCAATGGTTTTTATTTTGCTCTTTAAAATGTAATGTAAATTACTAAAAATAAACATAGTTTTAATTCCCGAATACAACCAGAACACCGTGGTCATGTTCGTAGTTGATGTTGAGGGTTTTTTGGTTTATTTTGTTTGGTTTATATGGTTTTACACCCTTGTGCAAATTAACTGAAACAAAATAAATAATTCCGTTATTATTTATTTTTTTGTATTTGTCCAATAAAACATTACCCAACGCATATGTTAGTACTTCGTATGTCCATTACACGAAGTCATTCCTTGCAGAGTGACCACTGATTCTCGATTGGATTTAAATCAGGAGTCTATAGTACTTTGATTTGTTCACTGGTGAGGCTTGCCAGTGTGTTTGTACATCGTTACAATTTTCGTACGCTTCCTTAGAGTAACGTTCATCTTAGGCAATGGACAACTAATCGACAGTCGAGACAATAGCTGGATAAAAATCTGATGCAATCACGGATGATACAATGTTTTTCAAGGCCAAACAAATTCATCAAGCACCCCGAAAATAGATTCATCTTACTGCATACCACTGCAAATAACCAAAGCTGAGGAAAAAAAAAAAGAAATAACCTAGTAATTTAACGATGCAGTTATTTCAACGGAGGTACGATGTGACATAGTTTTGGTTCAATATATCGGCTAAGAGCAAAAGAATTGTCAGTCCCTGTGACCACTTTCAGGCTGGGCATCTGTATCGACTAAACCTCACTGCTTAGTTTGTTTGCCACAGAATTAGAAATTTTCGGAACCAGGCTTCTCTCAAATTTTAGAGATGTGCAGGGGGATATATACTACACTTTGATCCCAGTCCGAATTGATTCTTCTACCTATCCAAGTTGGTATTATGCAACATAATGTCGCCTAAATATAAGTGTCTTACCCACAAGCAAAGGACAAAAATTGCGACCAATGTCAAACTGGTGTCGGTATCTGTTAACGCACCTATGGGAAAGGGGGGGGCACAGACTCGGAAACCTCGGGGACACGCTTCCCGTTTAAAGATAAAAGATACTACACTTTGATCACATCCCCAAAACTGGGGAAATAAGTATTGTAGACAGTTGCCGAAAGGCGACGATTTCTCTTTGACTAAAGCAAAATCAACCTTTTTTTTAATTTTTTACGACTTATCAACCCTTTGTGGGTTCTTTACATCCGAAATATATTTTTGGATTGTAAGAAAAATTATTTCCTTTTTTGCGAGTGAATATTAGATTAACAATTTTGGGAGAGATAACAAATATATATCCTACGTTTTAATCCATAGCTGGGAGAGAGATAGATTTATACCTTTCGAAAATAATTTTTTACACATAGGATATATTGAAGGCCAAGATGCTGAGGGAAACAACAAGTCAACTACATAATGAGTTTGTATGTATGGATACGTTGAAATGATAGGAAGTTGTGGAGTGTCGTAGTCATCCACATCCCTAAGGGGCATCACTTATAAAAGAAGAATCACATAGAGTCTATATTATTTACATTATTCGGTCTATTGTCCTCATCTTTGTCGCCATATTTATTACAACGTTTCGGCCGTTGTATGCTCCGGCCTTCTTCAGGTGGTTGGAAGTCCGAATAATGTAAATCATGTACATAATACCTCATCTCAGAAATATAGACAGACCATACAGAGTGTAACTGAAGGAAAACTCAAAAAACTCTTAGATATGAACGAAAAAGGAAAGTCTGAAGACAATTGACTAAGTATTATGGGTAAGAAGATAGAATGTATGGTATGAGCGAAAAGAACAAGCCCAATATCAATCAGGAAGCGAAATCTGAGAATATGGGTGATTTAGTGACACTAAAATCTGAAGACACATAGAAGTAGGGAAACATGCTTTCTAGAATATAAGCAAAGTATTAAGAGATAGAAAATGCCATTAGAAAAAAATATTGCTGAACAACTATGTAATATATGATCTCCTTCACGGCAATGGATGCTACGCAATCTTCTTACGGATAAAAAAAAAAAAAAAACTTGAAGCCAAAAAGGTGTGGTTTCACAGATTAGTGTTTTAAGAAAACATGGAAAAACACGAGGTACCTTAAAAAAAACATTCTTTTTTTTTTCTTTTTCTTTTTTACTCAATTCACCCCAAGCAAGGTGTTAACGCCACTAGGAAGAAGAGGATTACAGGAAGTGAAGGACAATGAGAAAACTTTAGTGAGAAATAAGGAATGGACAAGTAATAGCGTTCAGGAAATCAGATGGTTATTGGCGTTGCATTTAATTTTCTTTAAGGTTGTAGTTGAGAGGGAAGCAAGAAATCGTAAGGGACTTCCACAGGGAAGAAATACGAAACAACTGTTAAAATAGCAGAGACGGTTGCATCTCGCTAGTTCAACGGTGAGACCTAGTTGGCAATCTAGTATCATGTAGTTAAGGTACTAAAGAAAAAAGCTTACCATGAAAATAATTGTAGAAAAGACAAAGGGAGAACGTGTCTGAAGTCAAGATGTCTGGATCGATTACATTATAGACGCCAAGAATCTCGTGAATCTCGAGATATACAACAGGAACAGCCGATCAGATTTGGTAGCAATATTCAATTTACGGAGAAATGGTAAATTTTAAATGTGCAAGATGATGAGGAACATTTCCTGGCACGGCACGGTGAACCATCTTTCTTGGCAGGAGACGTAACAACTGATTCAATATAGTCGCTCCACTTTATATCAGTGGAAAACATGAAACCAAGAAGACATAAAGTGTTTCTCTCCTGGAGGTTAGCATCAGCCATATTGATGGCAGCAGAATTTTTTTTTTCTGTACAATCAGAAAGAAACATTTGAAAATATGTGAAACATAAAGAAGAAAACGGCTTGGAAAATCATACAGCCCATGGACATATTGAAGGCAAGAAAAGCAGCGGTAATCAGCAAGTGACCTACTTAACGAGTTTGTGCGAATGGCTGGCAAAAGAAAAGCAAAGAGTAAAGTTAAAGGGGCAAAAACAAAAGAGGAAGATGTAGAGAACCATGAACGCCCCCCCCACAAAAAAAAATCAAAGGCCCAGATGCATCATTACAGAATGGCGGAGAGTTATAAATAGGATGAACATTTTAAAAAAAAATCATTAATTTTTATGAAAAAAAAATAATATACCTGCCTCCAACCGATCTAAAAGAAAAACCAAAAAAAAACTATATTGACTTAGAAACTGAACTAAAAAAAAATATCGGATAACGTGAATCTATTAAACCCCCTATTTTTTTTTTTCTTTTCTCTTTCTTTTCACATTACTGAACGACTTGGAATTCCTTCTTTTGAAATTAAAATATTTCGTCAATATTTTCCAAAGAATTTTATTTTTAATCCTCTTGTATTATTTCCTGACACAGTTATTTCAGTTTAATTGAATTCTTTTTCATTCGTTCATCGCACCTTAGCATCGTCTGGTCGACTTCCGGTGTATTCACTTTATAATTTTGTTTCTTCTCCTTCTTCTTCTTCTTCTTCTTCTTCTTCTTCTTCTTCTTCTTATTATTATTATTATTATTATTATTATTATTATTATTGTTGTTGTTGTTGTTGTTGTTGTCATTGTCATTCTTGGCTAACATGATTTTCTTCTTTTTGGGTGCGTTCATGGTTCTCCACATTTTCCTCTTTTGTTATTATTATTATTATTATTATTGTTGTTGTTATTTTCATTCTTGGCTAACATGATTTTCTTCTTTTTTGGTGCGTTCATGGTTCTCCACATTTTCCTTTTTTGTCATTATTATTATTATTATTATTGTTGTCATTGTCATTCTTGGCTAACATGATTTTCTTCTTTTTTGGTGCGTTCATGGTTCTCCACATTTTCCTCTTTTGTTATTATTATTATTATTATTATTACTATTATTATTGTTGTTGTTGTCATTGTCATTCTTGGCTAACATGATTTTCTTCTTTTTGGGTGCGTTCATGGTTCTCCACATTTTCCTTTTTTGTCATTATTATTATTATTATTGTTGTCATTGTCATTCTTGGCTAACATGATTTTCTTCTTTTTTGGTGCGTTCATGGTTCTCCACATTTTCCTCTTTTGTTATTACTATTATTATTATTATTGTTGTTGTTGTCATTGTCATTCTTGGCTAACATGATTTTCTTCTTTTTGGGTGCGTTCATGGTTCTCCACATTTTCCTTTTTTGTCATTATTATTATTATTATTATTGTCATTGTCATTCTTGGCTAACATGATTTTCTTCTTTTTGGGTGCGTTCATGGTTCTCCACATTTTCCTCTTTTGTTATTATTATTATTATTATTATTGTTGTTGTTCTTGTTCTTGTTCTTGGCTAACATGATTTTCTTCTTTTTGGGTGATTTCATGGTTCTCCACATCTTCCTCTTTTGTTATTATTATTAT